GGTTTGCAAGTACAAATATTAATCCGAAGTGTTTTGGACAGAGTTTTATGGAAAGATTAGACTAAGACAAACCTACACCATTGAGATTGAATGGGTAAAGCAAGCATCTGCAGATGGTGCAAAGAACAAGCCGCCTGTGGAACTACCTCACTCATCTTTATTAATGATAGACCTAGTGATGGCAATAAGCACAAATTCTAATATTTTTGGAAAGATATGTCTACTTATGCAGGGGAATGTACTTCCATGATAATTGGGTGGCACTTCACCAAGCACTATGTCAATGACCCAGAACCTAAGGCCAATGCAACCAAGGAATTTTGAAGGAGAAAAAAAAATATTGATGTAAATTCAATCAAATTCAATCAATTTTACTTGCTGAGAGAAAAACTGAACTCATAAAAAAAACAGGAACTCAAAGGGACAGCAGTTAAATTTATCACATGATTACACAACACGTGAGCTCAAAGACCTTTGCAAGTATATAAGATAAAATTGTGAAGTCCCCCCTGTGATCTGTTTCAAAAATTAATTTATTTTATAACTGCTTTATCTAAAAGAGGATTATGGGGGTGCAAATGCCTATCCCAGCAAACAACAGGCACAAGGCAGAACATGACGCTAGTCCATCACAGAGCAACACACACACACTCACACCAGGACTAGTTTTTGTAGAAGCCGATTAACCAATAGGTACAGTATGTCTTTGGACTGTGGGAAGAAACTTACATGAACATACAGGTCTAGAATTTCAAATGAAAACACACTTGTGTTTGTTTTTGTAGCTTCTCTGAGCTAGAAAACAATAGGCATCATTTTGTTTTATTCATTTTACTCTTTTAATGTGGCTATTCTGTATTAAACTTTAAATGAAACCTTATTAAGCAGAATAATACTTAAATTAAGTGTTATATTCCAACAGATCCCAAACTTCTATATACAGGACAAAGCTTTAGTACTAGCTTAAAATAACAGTGAACTTAAAGAGACAATATCTATTAAAAAAAAAATCAAAAGCAACATATAAATAAGCTTCCCTACTCATTGGGTGTTAGAAGGCTCAGCGTTCTGAACAAGAACCCAATTTGTAGTCATGTTAGTGGTGAAGATACCTTTTTGACACATTAAGGGCATCTTGCAATTTACCAGTTTTAAAACACATCAAACTATAGAATAGGTGGGTAGCTGCGTCAGCATGCGTAGGCTGCAAAGGAACAAGTAATAGGTTTATTCCATACTGAAAAAAAGAAGAAAGAGAACACAATGTTTCGGCCGTGGAGCCTTCTTCAGGTGTGAGAGAGACAGGGCAGTAGGCAAAGGTAAAGTAGAGGGAGAACAAAAAATTATTCTGCAGCTAGGATCACACATTCTCCCTTCCCTTAATGACAGACTACTGTTCTTTTAAATTTTCTCCATTCATTGGAAGTTTCATTTCACACCTCTCTGCACCCATTCTGACTTCACCCTCTTGATTGGCCTCTCTTTCTGTCCCCTGCTCCCGCCTCTCACTCTTCCTCCCTCCCAACCTTTGTTCTCCTGCTACTTTACCTTTGCCTACTGCCCTGTCTCTCTCACACCTGAAGAAGGCTCCACGGCCGAAACGTTGTGTTCTCTTTCTTCTTTTTTTCAGCATGGAATAAACCTATTACTTGTTCCTTTGCAAACTATAGAATATACTGTAGGTGCTGTGTAGTTTTTTCATAGCTGTAAGGAGACATAACTGTTAGACTCTGAAGGTCTTCAGCCCCTTTTGTAAGAACACAATAGAATGTTCCACTTTACTTTTAACTGACAGTCAGCTGGGAGAAGGAGAGAGAGGTGGTAAATGAGTTTATACTCACCACCAGATGGAGTGAAATAACTCAGAGAAGATTACATTTTTATGAATGTGGTTTGCCACTGTGGCAAGCTTTCTGCCATCTCCTTTTCCCTTTTTGTGAATACTGTAACGCTTACGGCCGACAAGCACTGTGTGTAAGAGCCGGCGTACCAGAGCGGGTGACGTCACCGCCCTTCCCTGTGATAGCAGGACTACAGCTACCGGGCTGTAGAGAGATCTCTCTTTAGCTCACGGGGCTAGGTCGCTGCAGAGAGACGCGGAAGTCCCGGGTTCGAGCCTCCAGTCGGGATGGGGCCGACCAGATGCGGCAAGGGCGCCCGCCTGAGCCCCCGTTGCGTTACAATACTTTTTTTTCCAGAAGAGGTTATATCCAAAATGTTTCTTTCTTGTTTGTGGAGAATTATTTACTCACCAAAATTACTATTCTTTCCATGTTTTCAATTTTTCTACTCAATGTTTTGGGTGGTGCCCTGCCTCCAGACTGATACTGGGGCCATTTTTGTTTTTCTTCATGGGATTGTCCCCCTCCCCCCTTGGTTGGGGACAGCATCTTTACATGTTGTCAGAGTGTGAAGGTTTGTACGTGGATGGTCTGTCTAGCCAGCATGTCCATTTTTCACTCATTTCCCTCAAGGATGATGCTTGTGGTGTGGTAATGTGATGGTGCAAGCCAAGACTTTAGCCAGGGTCTCTCCTGTGAGTGAAAACTGTCCACACCTGGCTTGATTGCCTGATTAGTGTCTTGTGTGACTGGAATGCCTCTGAGAGGAAGAATGACAAATTTGATTGATCCAATTGATAAGATCACTTTACTAGCCATATAAAGTATGGCCATATACAATTATAAAGCCATATACAATTTCTTGCATTAGGAATTTGTCTTTTCCCATACCCCAGCTGCTCTCCATGAGACACACAGACGAGAAGAGAGAAGCTTGGGGTCAGAGCCCAGGGTCAGCCATTTATACAGCACCCCTGGAGCAGTTTGGGTTAAGGGCCTTGCTCAGGGGCCCAACGGAGAAGGATTCCTCTTCTAGCCACAGGATACGAACTGGCAACCTTCCAGCCACAGTTGCAGATCCTTAGCCACAGAGCCACCACTCCACCCAGTTCTTTGGTAACTGGGTGCCAAAAGGATTGAGAGAAATATGGTGTGCTGGTAGATCTTCAAATGACAAGATACATATATCTTCCTGTTAAGGAAGCCTGACCATTTGTTGAAGAGATGAGCCCAGTTTAGTGCGTCAGGGTGTTCATGGGTGTGTTGGAAATTATTTTTTTTAAAGACATGTCGTGATTTCAGCAGTCCCATTTTCCCCTGTGGATTAAAAAAGACCCGAAAAGTTGATCTGCAGGAGTTGAAGAGGATGTGAAGATAATATATCTATTACCTCTGTGGTGGACTGTGGTTTTGGGACTGTGCAGGCTTCTCCATAAGGGGACTATCAGTACATTCTTGGAGTGTGGCGAGGTTCTGAATGCCAATAGTCACAGACTGCCTGAACACTCACTTATAATCTGGTGATATGCTAGCTCAGAGTTTTATATATTGTTTAAGGGCCAGCATGTACCAGTACCACAGTATATTTCTTTGTAAAGAACAATTGAGGACATTTTATAGTTCTGGAACCATTAAGTACAGTACACACACAGGAGTACTAAAAAAACATGCATCGAACTTGAATACATGAGTTGGATCAATACTTTGATATACCATATTCTATAGATGTTTTGCCTCATTCAATGACAGTGATGTTTACACATTCTATCAACATCTAATGGTGTGACCCTATCTGTAGATGGTACTGTACTTGAGCTTCAGTCAAAATTAAAAAACTTGGAGGGGATATTTGATTCGGGCTTGAGATTTGACCCAGATGTGCAACATATTGTCAAAACATCATCCCTTTACCTCAGAAATATCACCAGACTATGTCAAATGTTATCACTTTTCTGAATAATGCTGATCCACACATTTGTCTTCTCCCAAATTGACTACTGTAATACTCGACTCGCTGGGGTTTCTAAATCCACAATGAACAAACTCCAGAATGTCCAAAATTTGGCAGTCAGAATCCTGACTAGGTCTAATGCAAGTGATCACATTACTCCTATCCTGGAGTCCCTGTACTGGCTTCCTGCCAGGTTTCATTTCAACATCAAATTCCTCATGCTCACCTATAAGGCTCTGCATAGCTTGGCGCCTCAGTGCCTATATGAGCTACTGTCATCCTACTCCCCACTTTGCAACCTTCACTCTTCTGGTTCTGGTCTCTTACCTGTGCCCCAGGCCTGTCTACACAGGTGACAGGGCCTTCTCCTGTTATGCCCCAAAGCTACGGAACTCTCTCCCTAAGGATATCAGAGATTCAGCTTCCCTAAACACTTTCAATCCAGACTCAAAACCTTCTTCTTTAGAAGGGCCTTTACTTAACTGGTTCTGTTATTTACCGCTTTGCTTCTACCGTGTTCAGTGCCCCCATCTACTGTCCTCTCATTGTGTATTTTCATTGAATATCTTGTGTATTTTTGTGTATATCTTTGTGTACAGTATATTGTTGTTGTTTTCGTTCTGTAAAAAGCCTTGAGAAGCTGCATTTAAAGGCACAATATAAAATAAAGTTTTTTTTATTATTATCTACTGGGATGCCTGAAAACCAATGCTATTACTGTATGTCAATATTATATGTCAATATAAAATAATAAAACACATTTCATTATCCAAAATGTAAATTCATAAAGTGAAATTTGCATTATGTACCCACATTTTCTTTTTTCCAGAATTGTTATAGTGTATATACAGTACAGTAGACAGATTTTACATGGTTACAAAATGTACAGTCCACAAATAAAAACAATATTTAATTTATTTTATTTATCATGTGAATGATGTTTATGTATTATGAATGTACAATTCCGTGATGATTCATGTCTTTGGATATGGGATAATGCACTATTTTACTGTCAGTCACTGAGATGTTTCAGCTTCAAGGATTTTTTCACAGTCCAGTAATCTGGATTCAAATGTCTGCAACTCAGCTCATCCATCTATAAATGATGGTATCGAAGCTAAGATGATGTTACTCTAATGCTGCTACATGGTTTCATTGTGTCTTCAACAGAAATGTCTAACAAAGTGTCATAGCAATCAAAGCTGGAATTCAGAGAAAATATTAATTTATTTTATGCAAGAGCATGAATCACTGGACACATCTGCAAAGGAAGTGGAAGACTTACTTGTTCCATCAAATATCACTTCAGGGTAGTCAATCCATTTTAATTAACAACAGGAGTTTAGGTATTGATGCAGAACAAAGTACAATAAATAAAAACAGGCTAAATGGTTAACAAATAGCAGGACTTCATAGTCAGAGTTATATTTCTTTGCTACTGTGTGTTAGCTTTATTTAGATCCCTAATTATGATCTGATATAACGCTTGTAATGTTTTTCTACTTCTATACACACAACAAACAAATTCTTATTTAGTCATATGTCTATACGGTGACTGACAAAGAACAAACAACCCAACACACATGTAAACAATATCTTTCAGGAACATAACCCCCTCTGTTCTTAATAGATATGTTCAAATACAGTAAGACACTTCTTAAAGGTTTATTATTATGTATTTCCATGAGTCATTACCTTATGCACTAAAGTTTAAAGCACAGTAAGCATCTGTATGAATAAGCCTAGTAGTAGACATTATCTGGAAAGAATCCCAAAGAACAATAGACAACGATATGGAATTTTTAAATTAACATTTATATTAAGTCATTACATTTGTAGATGATAGTATCTTCAAATAACTACTCTATTTCTTTGCGTTTTATCTTGGGTCTAATCTCTGGAATTCTATAAATACTGAAATGTATTAGCATATAATGTTATCTGCATTTTGCCTCAGCATATAAAAGCTTCTAACTGTCCATGCCAGTTTACCTAATGTAGTTTAAGTGATTCTTTTTTAAAAATCATTGTAAAATAAATGTAATCTTTATAATCTTCTTCCATTTGTGGTCAAATTTGTATGGGAGCATTTTTAAGAAGGATCCAGGAATATTAAATCTGGACCCTGTTGTACTCCACAGCATTATAACTGGAGTCTGAAGGACCTTTAACTTAACAAAAGAATCAATTAGATAAAGACAATGAGGCGCATTGTATCAAAATCCCCAAAATCAAACAGTAAGATCGAACCTGGGTATTGATAAGAAAAGCTCTGCCAGATTGAAGCTGTTGTATATCACAGAGAACTATTAGCAATAAAAGAAACATTTAAACACAGAACATCATTAACAAAAATATCAAAGCACAACAAAACTGCAACCACTGCCTTCTGTTCCAGTATAATGCAGTAAAGCAGTGGATTAAAAATGTTGCACAATACCTATACTGTATATAAACATATGCTAATTCAATGCTGAAATAATAAATGACAGATCAATAATGATTACAGTAAATTAATATTAACCTGGAATCAGTAGATGATATGTTAATAACATCCCTCTCTTCACAGTTATGCATTTAATCCCAGGGCAAAGTCTTTCTCCATTATCCTTGGCAGCTAGTCTTAAAGCTAAGTACCGCTGTTTAAAATACTGTAGTCTCTATTTAGACTATTGGCTACTTTGAGTTTAAAAAAATAGATAAAACATAAAAATATAAGAAAGCCTTTTATTTTTGACTACCGCAATAATAAATACGATTTTTTGTCTGTAGTCACATTTATCAAGTACTGTAACTTTCAGTGCAGTAGCAGTGAATATGTGTGAAACACTGATACATTTATAAATATGAAAAAAACAAGAAACTGTAAAACTATGACTTATTTGAAATAATTCCCAGTGTTCTACAATGCCAGTTATTTTATTTAGCTTTATAGAGGAATGTAAATCTATTAAGAAACCAACAAAGGGTAATGGCTTTGAACTCTGAACACTATAAAGTGCTGCTTCTATAAAGGACCTGATTTTTTTTTTACACAAGAAATTTAAAGCTGTTCTCCAATGAGTTTGTAAAGTAACAAGGGGAGCATAATAGCAGCTCTTCAAACAATATCTTCAGAAGCATTTTTGTTCATTTAAATTAGCATTTAACCTTTGAGGGCAGTAAGCAGTCATTTATCATCTTTCCATAAGTAGTCCTCTTTTTAAAGCAAAATATTTTGATAAACTCCAGCGGAATATTTATAGAAGAAACAAGTCTGGCAAATGAATGTCTGAGTGAGAGGTCAAACATTTATAAATCCCACTTGAAGAGTTGCAAACTGTGCTAAAATATTGTGGTTCTTTGATAAAGACTTCTTTGTGCTACCACAACTAGTGTCTGTTCTCTAGTTTGACATATTGAGACTGGATATCTGTTCAGTGCACAGTACAGTACTGAAAATAGTGAAGATTAACTGCTTTTCCAGTTCTACTGTAGCTACTATTTGAAGAAAAAAAAATATATACAGTACAGTATATCAGCTCTCAGAAATGTTTTAACCCGATATTTTTCAGTATCTTTCATCCTCAGAGTATGAGTAACTGCTAGAAATATATTTTTAACACGAACATTTTTGGACTACTATTGTATCTATAAATGTTCACTGGATATCCCTTGGATTTGTTTTGTTTTTGGCTCCAGGTTCAAATTAATCAGGTTCTTCAGCAGTTAATCTAAAGATGACAGGAGAGATGTCTGTCTATGCGTTTTAGTCTTGTCTATATGTATCTTTTTTCATTTTCATTTTGTCATCTCTAGGACTGTCCAATTCGTTTTATGCAAATGGATGTGTATCTTCTTCTGGTGCAACTTGTGCTGAAAACCAGCCTATGTTTCAGAAGTACAAAGTATATGTAAAACAAACATTGGAGTTTTATTCTAATGTTCAATTTCAACATACCAGAGATGCCAAAGTGTTAAAGTGAAGAGCTAATTAAAAAGAAATAAGTACTCATGCAAATTGATTGATTTATTAATAAAAACTCTCTGTATTGGGCCTGCTTTGGATGTACAGTATACAGTAAACTGAAACTATTGTGCCATGAAACATTACAATAGTACAAGTAACAACTTATGTTTAGGAATAAGGTGCCATAAACCTTTCAACAATGCAAACATTTTCAGGACAAATTCGAATGCTAGTCTGATATTGATTTTAATGTATTTTTATAATTCTATATTATAGATTTACATTTTATAATGTAACAATGGCACACCTAAATCAAAGGTTTGCAGTCACTTACAATAATATTAAGATGCCTGCAATATTTTATGTTTGTCTCAGTTGATTTTTACATTGGTTGAAAACAAAGAACACTAGACATCCAAAGTCAACCGCACACAATTGAAGCAATGAAGAAAGGTCAAAGAATTAGTCTCTGAGCTGATCTCTGGGTAAAATGTCTGGTTTCAATTTTGGAACCACTTTATGAACTGTCAGACTTCCTATGTGAGACCAGGGCTAGTAGATAAGCGAAGAGCTATTCAGTAACAGTGAGCAGATTCTCAATGAATTCTCAATTCCTGAGAACTAAATATATGAATTATCATACAATACTGGAGTTTTATAAACAGCTGAGCACTGGTAAGCATACATTTAATGCTATTTGAATACTTTTTAAAAATATTAGAAGTCAGAAGGCATATTTTATAATTGTACTGGGACACTGTTGTATAGAAAATCAGTCGAGAGATAAAAAGTATTTGAAAATGCTGAGCAGAGTCAGCATTTATCAAGGTTGCTTATACAATCAACCTTATATTAAAAGGCTTCTTTAACAAACTGTACAACAATATTAAGAATGAGACTAGAAAAATGCAATGAACAAGTTAAAATCACCTCAACTATCTCATGATGTGTACTAGATAGACTAATTTGCTCTAGGATGAATACATACTGTAGACTAGATTCATGTGACATGATAGCTATTTATTTTCATATTTTTATAGAACCTAAAATGACTTGACTGGCGAAGATGATACATTGATTTATCTGTGTGTTATTAGGGTGTTCTAATAATTAACAGTAAAATCATGAGTGTAATCTAAAATTTCCTTTCTTCTCTTGGCTGGTTTATCAGTTTCTTTCATGCTTCTCACATACTGTAGCGCTGAATCTGCAATACACGAACACAAATACACTGTAATTATTTTACACTCCTCAATTCATATTAATTTATATCTGGTTCAGTGCACTTCATACCTGGGTGGGCAACAAAATAATGATGGTAAAATTTACCAAACAAATTTCAGAAGCAGGCATTATAACATACTACCAAGTTAGAATGATGGAACTAAAACGTCAGCTCAAACGCCTAAAATATACTTTAGAACATTAATTTAATTCATTGTTGGTATGTTGAAACTGAAATAACCCCATAATGTGCTTTGAATACAATTGTTATTCATTTAAAGCTTAGAACTCAATTGTCCCATTTTGGAGAGAGTATAATCATAAAAAAAACTATCTTGGTACTGTATAATCATTTAGATTTTTACTTTTGTTTTTGGTGCAATATTAGATATCTTAACATCAAAATCGCAACTTGAAATAAAGTATGTAATCTTAATGGAACCATTAAATAAAAAAAAAACATCAGCTTCCATCAAGTGCTAGTAACTATATCACCTGTCATTTTCTGTTGTTGGCATAAAATAATTTAATGCAGAGCCTGAATATTGGGTGTGGCAGTTAATCTTCTTTTTTTGTTCTGTTTTTATACTGACACAGCGAGTCTCTGACCTCCTTTGGGAAAAGGCTCACACACTGGGTGTTGACAAACTTGCTGTTGGCACATGAGGAAACATAAACTGCGCCAGATACAGCTCGCTGGACCAATTGCTACAAGAGCCACTGCTAACAAAAAAAGCCTTCTTCTCTTGTTGCCATCATTGGTACCGTACCCTGAGCTACTGCTGGAGGTGTTCTTGCTCCCTCCTCATGCAGACTTGCTCATGTCTTTCTTACTCTTGTGGATGTAGGCTTCAAAGAAGAATTGGCAGAACAGCACAAAGTAGCTGAGGTACATGAGTGAGGACCAGACAATGTTCTGCACATGGGATGGGCACTGGCCTTGTTGCATCCAAGAAAAGACCAGGTAGTTTACCACGCAGCCCACCACCATCTGTGTGATCTGCGTCAGGGTGATGAACATGGCAAACTTGCGAGAGACCCGAAAACCGGCTGCTCGCAGGGCATAGTAAGAGTACATGACAGCATGCACCAAGTAGTTCATGGTCATGAACCAGCCTCCTCCAGCCACCATGTCCTTGTAAGAGTACCAGGAGTAGAGGAGTACAGTGATGTGGTGGTACCAGTGGAGGAAGATGAGCTTCTGTTTCCTCAGGATGATGAAGATTGTGTCCCCTGCAGGAAAGACAATGTCAGCATTGTTGAAGATAAAACAACAAAAACATGCAACCGAGAGACATTAAACCTCTATCACATAATGCAGATCTTGAAATAAATCAGTAAATATGCAAATCAAATATTTTTACATAAAAATCTCTCATTAAAAAATACATTCATCCTGAAAAAATACTTAGTGTTCTATAATCTGAAAAGTAGCTATTCCAAAGGATTTTCCTTACTATACTGTAGATACACTGATAATGAATATACACTTAATAAAAGTGTTTGAACCTGTGAGCTTTATCCCTTGACTGTGTAACTGCAGCATAATTGACACAAAACAGAAGTTTTACTTGCAGACTTTGTTTTATCACTAGACACAAACACTAAATTCAACTGCTGAAGCAAATTCTCCCTTCCCCAACTGATCTATTTTGTCTTGCTGGTACATATTGGATGCCTTATGTTAACTAGGAGGCTGGTCATCTTCAGTGATTACAGTAGGTCCCCTCCTATATGTGAAGAACTTTGTGGTAAAAAGTGTTATACAGTACATATTCAAACAATTTTTGCTATTAACAAAACTCGGTGCTCATACAGTACATGAAGAAAAATGCACTAATGTTTTCTTTTAACATACTTTGCTATGAAAAGTATTGCTGATTTGGGATATTCTGCACTGTTGCCTAAATCTGGTATTTACTGCTTGATTATTAGTGATAGTTTCCATATCACAACTGTTTCTGCTGGTACAGCTCAGTTACTCTCTCATATGGTGTATGTGACATTTCATCACTCTGTGCATTTTATAGAAATAAAGGTATTTTATTGGTACTATCAAGTATTTTTTTCCTGTAGAACTAACCATCATTACTTGAAATTTTAAGAGTGTGACATCATATGATTATTGCTCTGAGACATCTACTGTAGAAATGCATTTTCACTAGGTTCTAACTTATTAGTATACAAATATGCTCAAATTCTCTCAAGGAAAAATTTCAGAAAAATACTCAAAAAGAGCATCAGCTGTAACATTTGAATTACAAATGATATGAAGATTACTATTTTGAGTACTTAAACTGAATCCAGGATCATTAAAAGTCAATGTTGACATATTTGATCACAATATAATACAAGAGAATAAATCAGAACAAATTCAGATTTTCAGATTTCAGACAAAAAAAGAACTCTAAGCATTGTGACAGAGTAGATAGCACTTGAATATAATTAGACAAAACCCGACCCAAAGATAAAAATATTCACTGTCATTCAGCACTTACAGTGACTTGCAAAAGTATTCAGACCCTTGCAGATTTTCTTGCTTTAAATCTTTAAAGTCATAATTCTTTGAAGAAGGAATTATACTCCACACATTTAAATAAGACCCCCCCCCCCCAAGAAACAAGTAATTAATACGGAAGAAAAATGCAAAAAACTTGATTGCATAAGTATTCGTACCCTTTGCTGTGGTAAACCTTAATTAGTTTAGGCGAACAAAATTACCTTGACAACAGTTAGTTAATTGGTTTCTGTTGGTATCCAAAACTAGTGGTTCACAATGTTTTAGAGTACAAATACCTTCATGTCTCTTTGCATTTCCTTATTCACGTAGTGAATTTCAAGCAAATATTCCAAAAATAAGGAAAAAGTTAGAGAGTTAGAGAGTTCAATGGCTAAGATGGGAAAAATGTGCATGAGCCAACAATATCTCAGTAACTTCACAAAGTTAGCCTGAAAGCCAAATCCTACACTGAGTTTGCAACAATATTTAAATGACACTGCACACGTGTCAAAAGTTTTTATGGTCAGAGAAGGCAAATCGGAACTTTTTGATCAAAGGGGTGTTTCAAGAGAAATTTCGGAGGAAGATCAGATCCTAATCTCATCTACATCAACTTTCCTAAGTATAAAATCTTGCCTCCTGAGCTTCCCTTTGCACATATTTCTTGCACCCTTCCTTCTATCTCATCTTCACTCTTTCAGCAGCTCCCTAGCTCCTCGAATACATCCTCGAATACATCCTCTTACCGAACTAAGTACAAAGTTAATGTACATCTGACAGAACCTCAAGATAGTAAGGAAGTAAGGATAAAACAAAATTAGGATGAAAAGAACCTAACAAAAGCAGCTATAAATCACATGCAGGGCAGCCCTTTTTAATGCCAGTTTTACATGATCTCCAGTCCAACACAATTTTCTAAGAGAATGTCTCAACAGTGCTGAAAATATAACACAATGTGCTGATTCTTGTGGGCAAACATCATATAAATAGCACAATAGCCAATGTTTAATAATTAATTAATACTCTTCTGGTAAAGAGCATGGTAATACCCATTTACAACATACCCTGTGTGCATTTAACTTCAGATTCCCTAATTCTGCTTACAGTGCCTTGCGAAAGTATTCGGCCCCCTTGAACTTTTCAACCTTTTGCCACATTTCAGGCTTCAAACATAAAGATATAAATTTTTTAT